ACTGGTAACTTGCTCCCAGAGCCAGTCATCAGCATCCCGCTCATGACACTATCAGGGGCGGAGGCTGCATCCACCCGACTCCTTCCTGGCACCCAGGGGGGCCCTGACTCCGCCTGCTCCCCCTTCACTTCCAGCCGGTCTGGCGCTGGCACCTCAGCCCTGGGTCCCTCCAGCCGGGACTCCTGCCTCCAGGACTGGCCGGGAATTGGGAGGGCAGAACCGGGGGGGACCGCCCCGGCAGGGGGCTGAGGAGACGGGGCAGGGCAGCCTCAGAGGGAGCGGCCGGCGGGGAACAGAGCCCCGGAGAGCAGGACGTGGGCCCTGCACGGCAGTCCCCTCTATGGCCCCGCTGCTGCTCCTGCCCACCCTGCTGCAGCCCCTGGGCGGCTCAGGCCACTTCCCCCAGCCCCGGCTGCGGCGCTGGGGGGCGGCTGCCCTGCGGCACTTGCAGGCGGCTCCGTGCGCCCCGCGGGGTGGCCCCCAACCCAAGTGTCCCATGCTCCATGTGTCGGAGCCCGCCGGATGGCCTACCTTGCCCAGCGGCATGAACCACAGAGGACCCAGGGTGCCCCCCTCGCACGACGTGCTGCTGCTGCTGGACCCCAGTCTCGGGGCCAGCTTTGGCCACCCGCTGCAGTTCTTCCACCTGGACTTCGGCGTCAGCTTCGGGGCTGGGACAGCGTCTACCTGGGTGAGCACCCGCAGGGCCGGCCCCCAAACAACAACAAAAAAAGGATGCCCCGAATGCCGTCTCTGCAAATGTGCCGCCCCAAGCACTTGCTTGCTTTGCTGGTGCCTAGAGCCGGCCCTGTCTTCCTGATAAATTAAAGATTAAGCTCCTTAAGTATTTCAATGCAAGGCATGCCTTCTGCTCTTTGAATCATTCTTGTTCTTTTCTCTGACCCTTCTCCAATTGTTCAGCATCCTGTTTAGAACTGTGGACACCAGAACTGGAGACAGTATTTCAGCGTTGGATTCAACAGCTGCAATCACAGGTAATATAAAATCCCTAGTCCTACTTCATATTCACTTCAAGGGGTAAAAAGGAACTGAAAGGGGCCAGATGCGCTCTGTCTCCTCCAAGACCTCTCTGTGAGAGTACTAAAAAGGAGAGTAGCATTTATATAGATCAGGAAGCAACTTCAAAGTAAACAGCTGGTATTTGTCTGATGACTCTGAACACTAATCATTATGGAAAATAACCTACCTGAAAACCTATCCTAATGACACCTAAAGATGACTAGGTACTTTGGAATTCTTTCTTACTGTCAGAGCAGGAAGCAGTTCCATTCAACACTTTGTGGCAGGCAGGTAGATTCTTTTCTTTCCCTACCTGTCACTGGGATCTTAGAAAGTTCTAAAATAAAATAAAGTAGCACCATCAAAATATCATCTTCCATAAAGTGGGCAGAAATCATGTGGATTAACTATTCTGATCATGGCTTGCCTGTCATAAAACAAAATATAAACCTGGGCTTAGAATATTTTTAACAGATCCCCAGAGAAAGGAAATGGCCAATTTATTTTAACAATACTCCCTTCACATATGAAAAAGAATCCTAATTCACTAGGCACAAAAACTTTCCTTTTTCAGACCTGGAAGTGAGTTTTTTATTTTTTTATATTTGCCCTTCTCTGTGTTAGTCAGGTAATTTAGCTACAGATATAAGTATGGACGACAAGTTTCAGTACTTGCAGACTGGATGCCTGTTCTTAAATACCACATAACTAACTGTTGCTCATACATAGGGTAGAATTTTTCATTAAGTGCTTAGATGACCTAACTTTGCTCCCATTGAAGTCAATGGGAGTTTTATCATTGATGTCAACAGAAACAGAGGTAGGCAAAAATTGAATGCTTTTAAAAATCCAATTCAAAGTTGCTTGGCTTCTGACATGTCTGTGTCCATGTGTTAGGATGGAATGTGTTCCAGCTCACCAGATGTTATGCCAGTTTCACTTGTACACAGGAGCCAACCAAAACTTGGCAGCTTACATCATGCACAAGTGCCATATCTTCTTCTGGAAGTCCTTTCTCTGGGAAAGCAATGTCACACTGTTGTCACATGCCTCTTTACAACTAATTGCACCTGACTTCTGCTGTTAGTGGTGAAATAGAACATCTGAAAATGGAGGAAGGGATTTTTTTTTAACAAAGCACTACATGAATATAAATAGAGACAGCAAAGAATAATAACAGTTTGCTCGAATGATTTAAATGAAGGACTGGATAGGTCAGAAGACTGATAATGAGATACTGAGTTATTCATCTACAGGTCATCAGTATAATCCCACCCATATTGGTAATGACCAAAAGGCCTTTTACTTGGACAGCTACTGGATGGCATATGTTCCATCCACCTCCACCAGAGATACTTATATGGCCTCTATTACCATAGCTGAGTGTTTCACAATTTTTAAATGTATTTATCCTCACAACACTCCTGAGAGATAGAGAGATCTCTTATCCCCATTTTACAGAACTGAGGCACACAGAAGCTAGCTGACCTGTCCAAGGTCAGACGTAAGGTCTCTGACAGAGCAGAGTATTGACCCTGGAAATCCTGAGTTCTAGGCAACTGCTCTAACCCCTGGACTTTCCTTCTTCTCTAAGGAATGTTAGTTGTCCACATCAAATTTTCAAGGGACATGTTACCATTTAAAAGAGAACCTCTATCTTCAGAATTAGCATCCTTGGTAGCTGTCTAAACAGGAAAGAAAAAGATTTAAAAAAGCACAGAAATCTATCATTATTTAGATTGCAGTAAGTACTTTCCAGACTCAGGGACAGCCATAGACCTTGCCCTGAAGAGCACACAATCTAAAAAGGCAAAGACAGATGAAAGGTCAAGGAAAGAGATAGGACACATAAAAATGACTGCAGTGATAACTACATCTTATTAAAATTACACGTCTTTTAACTTAGACAAGCCCCCCACCTCCCACCTATTGCCCCTGACCTTCTTCCACAGCAGTGCCCAGCTTCAGGTCCAGTACCCTCACCCCTTCCTGACCAACATTTGGCTCCTATCACCCTGCAGATATGAGCAATTCACTCACAATATAAATAAATACAATAAATAGGCAGATACCGGTAGGTTAGTTAGCTAATTTGCTGTAGGCGTCATGGAACAAATGGGTTTTAAGAGAAACAAGTGGGGCTTTGTGGACCAGCTCTGGAAGGGTGTTCTGTCCATAAAAGATGGCAAGGAATTATGCAGAGACAGTTGTGGGCCTAGAAGACAAATAAGGCTTTGAGATTGACATCACTGAGGAGCAAAAGCGATGAGGGGAAACCTTATAGGAGACAAGAACAGGTGTGTGCACTGGGTTGTGAGGTCAGGATGCTTCCTCTTTCTCAGAAGATCCCAGGTGTCTGGGAGGAAGTGGTCCTGCTTGACAAACCCCACAAAGATAGATGATGGGAGGATTCTTGAACACCACTGGAAAGGAGCCAGCAGGAAATAGTGGGATAGAGGAAGTGGCCACTGTGCTGCTTTGTGGACACTAACTGTTAGCAGGAGGAGCCCAGAATGCAGCTGATTTTTTGCAATCTGAACAATGTGCAGTTTTCAAGGAAAGCTTTCCCTTCTGTGGGCTTTTTGAACAGGAGAACAGAAAATAGCTGTAAGTCTCTAGACATTTATCTCCACTCCCTCCAAAGTCTTTCCTCTAAGTAGCCCCTGAGCAATTAGTATATTAGTAAATTTAAGTAGTAAATAATCAGTGAACCTTTCATTTCCATGATTTGCATACATAGATTCACAAATCTTTGAAGAACCCTTTCCTTTCTTACTTTAACCTTCCAGTCATGCCATCTGGCTCTGCGTGAGGGTAGCTTAAATCATTCATTTTCCTTCTTATGCTGACCTTGGGTTGACTTCTTCAAATTTCACACAGCTGATTAAATTTAATTGCAGTTATTTTCAGATATTCTAATACCATTATTTAGGGCTGAAATTTTTGTACTCCTTTTTAAAGTTCATGCAAGAGGTTTTATTTTCAAATGTGTCCATGTGCAATTTTTCTACTTCTTTTGCTTGTGCAATTACTGTACTAATATTGTGCATGTAGATCAAGTATGTTCACAGTAAAGATGACTGAATAATAGAATTTTCATTTTGGAGGCAAACTGAAATATCTGGGGGGGGGGGGGAATCTGGTTTTTGAACCATTTTTTCCACATTGAATTGAAAAACTCAAATAAAATTTCATTTCGATCAACCAATACATTTTGAATATCGCTAAATGATTTTTTTTGTTTTTCAGTTGACCAAAATGTTTCAGTTGATTCTAACCACTGCCCCCCCCCTTTTTGAAATCTGAAATCAAAACACTGTTTCGAATTGAAAAGTTGAAAAAAAAATCAAAATGGTCAAAATGAAACTGTCAGATTCCACCCAAATTTTGTAAATTGTTTTGGGCCCCCTTAAATGCATTTTTTGGCAAAAAGAAAAAATAATTTGTAAAAAAAAATGTCACTCAGTT